ATTTCTGGTAGTCACATTAAAAAGCTAAAAATTAATTTTAGGGACATATTTTATTTAACCCAATATATGCAAAATGTGATCATTTTAACATATAATGTGTAAAACTTGCTACTGTGTTATTTCCAAGTCTTTTCTTCATATCACATCTTCAGGGTTCCCATGGGTGCTGTACACTCACCACACACCTTGGTTTGGACCAGCCTGGTCACCTGTTCAGCAGCCCCCAGGGCCAGTGGCTACTCTACGGCACAGGCAGGTTCGGGTTCATGGCTGCCCCTTCATTCCAGCCTACCGACTCCACCGTGCAGCAGATGCAGGGGAGACGTTAGGACCTCACCCCCTCACTGCAAGGGCTCTCTCCAAAGACCCCAGGGACATACCGACTGAGAAATTCAGCTGGTCTCTACTCAGGGCTCCTTCTATTTGGGCTTCCAGCAGTCTCTAATTCTGTTCATTTATTGATTCAATGAATCCTTTATGAATCTTTATTATGGGCCAACCATGCCAAGAATTCTTCCAGGTGCTGGGACAACACTGGGGAAAAGTAACACAAGCCTCTGCCTCCAGAGCTTACATGGGGTGGGGGTGGACAATGAAGGAAGTAAGTCAATGTTGGGTTAGCTAGACAAGTGGCTGTGAGAACAGGCTAGCAGGAAGGCTCGCCCTTCAGCAGGGCTCTGAGAGATGTGAAACTCCTCGCTTCTCCCTTTCCTAAGGCTTCAGAGCCCTTTCCTCGAGTTCCCTGACAGTCCCTGTGACCCTGGCTGTGCTGTCTCTGCCTCCCGGGTTCCCCACGACCCCTCCTGAAATGTATGTGTTCCACATGGTCCTAACCCACCTTGTCCATTCCTCCTGGCTCATTCTGAGCTTTTCTGGGCTGCTTCATTTACCCTAGTGGCTTCATGGAGAGTCTCTCCCTGCTCTGTCTCTAACTTGATGTTACTTTCTCAGACCAGGAGCTCAAATTCCCCCTTAGGCATAGGACATGAATATGGCTCCAAAGATCACTATGAAATGTAGATTATTTCACAGAAAAGGAAATAAAAAATTTAAGAGAACTGGCATTAGGGCATAGCCAGAGGTTCTCACTAAAGAGCTATTTCTCTTACCTTCCTAGCAAAGAATTTTCCACTTCCTTAAGGGTCCCACGCAGCGATACTGAGGGGAGGGGACAGCCCTGAAAGCCCCAGACAGTTTTATCAGTTAGCAGGCTGGAAGCACTCTTGGGGTTACCTCGTGCCATGGGTACTGACACAGGCAGGTTTCTGCTCTGAGCAGGCACTCTGCTTGGTGTTCAGTATATTTTCCCATCTAGCAGCTGCTTGCCTGCCCTGAAGGTCCTCAGATAGCCTGATAGAGCCAGAATCCTCAACTTTTTGTAGGAAGGCCACACCAGGCCTCCCCACTATGGGATTCTAAGACTCAATTCAGGCTAGGCATGGTGGCTCAATCCTGTAATCCCAGAACTTTGAGAGGATTGCTTGAGGCCAGGAGTTTGAGACCAGCTTGGGCAATGTAGTGAGACCCTAAAAATTCAAAAATTATCTGGGCATGGTTGTGCATGCCTGTAATCCCCTCTACTCAGGAGGCTCATGTGGGAAGACCACCAGGGCCCAGGAGGCTGCAGTGAGCTCTGATAGCATCACTGTATACCAGCCTGGGTGACAGAGAGAGATTCTGTCTCAAAAAATAAAAAAAGAAGGAAGGAAGGAAGGAAGGAAAGAAAGAAAAAAAGAGAGAAAGAAAGAAACAAAACAACCCCAAAAGCCCCTCTCCCTCAAACCCAAACCAATTCATTTTCCTCTGCAGCAAACTTTCTCTTCCTTCTGTGTTCCCCATCTAGGTAAATAACATCACTCTCTCCTGGTTTCTGGGAATCTGGGCATGGTCATCTTGAATGCCTCTCACTCCTTCAATTCTCCACCATGCAGGTGGCTGTCAGGTTGGCTGGCACGGGCCCATTTGTCTGCAGCTTCACTACTGCTTCCTTCACATGATATTCAAGAGCCACCTTTTTTTTTTTCTTATTTTTTTTTTAGCGGATCACCTGAGGTCAGGAGTTCAAGACCAGCCTGACCAACATGGTGAAACCCAAGAGCCACCTTTCTGTTGTGATTTTCTGACCATTTATTGAATGTAAAAACTGTCCCAATGGCTCTTTTCTGCTAACATAAAACTCAAATCCCTAATCTTGGCATTTGAGGTCAGCAATGATTGGCCCCGACCTGCCTTCCCATCCCCAATTTAGGATGAGCTTCCCTGCTTTCTTGGTCTGGAATGTCCTTGTCCCCATCTTTGCCTACTAACATTCTCTTGCTTCTTCAAACCCGTTTTCTTGAAAACTTCCCAAATCACCCTTGTTGGAACCCATTTTTCCCAAACTCGCTCTTTCACAGAAGCTTGTATTTCTGTTGCAACATTATTTTCCTCTGCTCTGAGTGACCCCATCCCTGCTTCCCCACCAGTTGTCAGACTTCCAAAGGTGTGGGCTGTGTCTTATTCATTGTCCTGGGCTCTACAGTGGCAAGAGCACGCCGGCATTGGGCAGGGCAGGACACCCGGGTGCTTCATGAGGAGAATTCTCCTCTGGGCTATGAAGTTGGCAGCATGCTGTAAGACAGCCTTCAACCAGACTGTGGGAGGAGAGCTCGGTGGGGCACAGAGGAGATGGGTGTTGCCAGTGGGGGTGCTGGTGACTCGACCACAAAAAGCCGGGGAGAATGGGCTCTTACCAGCTTCTTCTCCTTCCTTCATGGACTGCTCTATGGCAGCCCTGATGCAGAGCTCACGGGCCCGGATCCCTGGGATGCTGTTGCTGTCAGACACGGCTTCCAGCACAATGGAGTCAATGCTCAGGCAGGCTGCGTTGTAGTACCTGGCCATGCTGACAGCGCTGGCTGACTTTCCTATCAAAAAGACGAGGGGGTTGAATTTCATGGTGCTCTTATGCTCAGTGTCCCAGCCAGAAGAGGTCTTAAGAACAGAGGTCCCTGCAGTGATCTCTCTGAGTGTCCTGGCTCCTTCTCATGTGGCTGGAGGTAGCAGCAGCAAAGAGAAGGAAGACCCCTGCCTGGAGTCAGGGCTGTGGGTCTGATCCTAACCTTGCCACTGATTCACATGTGCTGTGGCAATCTGCATCCTCACTGAGTTTTCCCTCAGTTACCGTGGAATATCATGCAGCCATAAAAAATGACAAGTTCATGTTCTTTGTAGGGACATGGATGAATCTGGAAACCATCATTCTCAGCAAACTGACACAAGAACAGAAAACCAACATGCAATGGCATGTTCTCACTCACAGGTGGGTGATGAACAATGAGAACACAGGGACACAGGGAGGGGAACATCTCATACTGGGGTAGATTAGGAGGTGGGGGGTCAGGGGAGGGCAGGGACAGCGGAGGGTGGAGTGTTGGGGAGGGCTAACACCGGGAGAAATGCCTGATGTAGGTGACAGGGAGATGGAAACAGCAAACCACCATGGCATATGTGTACCTAAGCAACAATCCTGCAGGATGAGCACATATACCCCAAAGCTTCAAGTACAATTTTAAAAAAAAAGGTTTTTTTTTTTTTTTTTTTTTTTTTTTTTTTTTTTTTTTTTGAGATGGAGTCTTGCTCTGTCAGCCAGGCTAGACTGCCATGGTGCAATCTTGGCTCACTGCAACCCTCACCTTCCTAGTTCAAGTGATTCTCCTGCCTCAGCCTCCCAAGTAGCTTGGATTACAGGCACGCGCCCCCACGCCCAGCTAATTTTGTATTTTTAGTAGAGATGGGGTTTCACCACGTTGGCTAGGCTGGTCTGAAACTCCTAATCTCAAGTGATCCACCCATCTCAGCCTCCCAAACTGCTGAGATTACAGGTGTGAGCCACTGTACCCAGCCTGAATCTGTTTCTTTAAGAAACAGATTCTATCAGGCAATCTTTAAAATACTTTGTAGTTCTTCCTATCTCTGATTCTAATAGGAAGACTTTTTTTGTTTTAAAGAATAACTTCTGTTGATTTCTTTTGTCATTTCAAAGTACTTTCATTAAAAAAAAAAGCAGAAAATTCAGAAATAATAGACAAGAGAAAAGAAAAAAATCTATCCACTCCCTCGGGGATAGTACAGTTAGCCTATGGTTGCTAAGTACACAGGAAACTATGTTATTTGTATTTCTTATAAAAAAAGAAACAGGTTATGTGGCAGGCTGAAAAATGGCTCTCTCAAAGATTTCTACATGTGAATTCCTGGAACCTGCAAATATGTTACCTTCTAGGGTAAAAGAGACTTTGCAGATGTGATTAATTTATAGATCTTGATATGGGGGGTTAGCCTGGATTATCCTACTGGGCGCAATCGAATCACATGGGTCCCCATGAGAGGAGAACAGGAGGGTCGGAGTCAGAGCAGATGATTGACCATGGAAGCAGTAGGAGAGACTGGCAGATGCTATGCTAATGGCTGGGAAGGAGGAGGAAGGAGCCAGGAACCAAGGGATGCTGGCGACATTTCTAGAAGCTAGAAAAGACAAGGAAACAGGTAGTCCCCCAGATCCTCCAAGAGGGAACACTGTCCTGCTGACCCATTTTAGACTTCTGACCTCTGGACCTATGAGTGTAAATTTGCATTTGTGAAGCCAGGAAGTTTGTGGTTACTTGTTATAGTAGCAACAGGACACTAACACAAACTACACATCACGAGCATGGCACTCTTTCTCACGTGAAATGATATCTCATGAACAACTTTCTACTCTTTCAGTACACTTGTATGACACTGGTTTTGTTGTGGTAAAGTATACATAACAGTTATCACTGAAATCATTTGTACATGTATGGCATAGTGGTACTAAGTGCGTTCACACTGCTGTGCCCCCATCACCACCATCCAGCTCCAGAACTCTGCCATCTTCCTGAACTGAAACTCTGTACCCATTAAACCATAACTCTCCAATACTCACCACCCTTCCAGCCCCTTGGAAACCATCATTCTGTTTCTCTTTCTATCTCTGTGAATTTGACCCATCTGGGTACCTCATCTAAGTGGAATCATACAGTACTTGTCCTTTTGGGACTGTCCTATTTCACCTTGCCTAAGGTCCTCAAGGTTCATCCATGTTGTAGCATGTGTCAAAACCTCCTTCCTTTTTAAGGCTGAATAGCATCACATCATACCACATTTTGTTTTTCCATTCACCCACTGATGGCCATTTGGGTTGTTTCTACCTTTTGGCTACTGTGACTAATGCCGCTGTGAACATGGGTACACAAGATGCTATTTTTAATGGGAATAAAATTCACTATATTAATTACTGTGCCTCATTAATCAGTCCCCCGTACTGAATATTGCAATTGCTTTCAAGTTTCTCTGACAGCATACAGTGCTGCAGTGAACATTCAAGCAGTTCATCTTGTTCACATCATTATTTTTCCTAAGAAAGTTTTAGAAGTAGCACTGCCAGGTCAGAGTCTGCACATACATTTCTCTCTCTTTTTAAATAATTTAATGTCTTGCATTTTTTTCTTTAATATATAATTTTTTTTAATTATGGAAAGAATACAAGTTCAAAGAATTCAGAGACGTGTACATTCCAAATAAGGTGTCTTCCCTCGAGCCTTTTTAACCCCCTCTCTGAGGTCAACAATTTAACAGTTTGGGAATAATCCTTAAGTATATGGATTATAAACAAATGAGCCTCTTACTGCCTTCAAAAGTTGTATGTGCTGACTTCACCATAAACAAAAGGGGCAAAAATAACTTATATTCATCAGCCTGACTTTGACATAGACTATTAAGCTGTTCATGAAGATTCTTTGAAAGCTGTAAAGCTCCATAAAAATGCCAGCCTTGTTATTACTGTAGTTCACACTCTAATAGGCTTTTCACCTGCAGATGGAAAGTGAGCCCTCCGCTAGAACAGAGCTGTGGCTCTTTCTAGGTCCGTGCATTTTTGGTGTTAACTCTCCAGCTGTCTGCAGCTTCTGTGGGTCCATCAACCACCTTTCCGATATTCCTTTTAGTGCAACACAAAAATGGCATGAGCCCGCAAGTGATGTGTGTGTTGGGGGGTGTCTTGAAAACATTTCCAATTATGTTCTTCCTTGCCTTGTTTGATTTCTACCTGATCTAGTCTTCTACTTTTTAGGTCCTGGTTTATAACTTCTCAAGGAAAGGTTCTTCAAAGGAAGGGATAATGAATGGTGACATTTTTATATTCCTAGGCCTCTCAGTGATTAGAACATCAAAATGCTCCATAAATGTTGTCTGTGTGAGTGATAGTAATTGCATCAGAACAAGATTTCATGGCCCTTCGTCAAGTAAGCCGAAGCTAAGAGAGGTGGCAGGGCATCCTCCCAATATCCCTCTGCTCTGCCACTTTCTAACTGGGTGACCTTGGACAGATGTCCTTGAATTTCTCTGAATTTCTACCTTCCTATGAGGTAGGGGATATCAAATTCTCTTTTCTGAGTGGATATGAAGTTTAAATAGACAAATGGATGGGAAGGAGCCCTGTAAACTGCAAATTACTATACAAATAAGATTTCTTTCCAATGCAGGTGATTTTGCTCCTTTGGGTTTATGGTGAAGTTAGCATGTGTAATTTTTGAGGTAATAAATTCTTATTAAAGAATCTTTTTTTTTTTTTAAATCAAGGGATCACCCCTTGACTGGTTTATGGTTAGGAAAAATATTCCTTGAGAATATTTAGCATGTGTTGGGAGTTTCTTTTCAATGAAGATTCACACTGCAGATACGGTTATAATTGTGAATGAGAATAGTCATAATAGTAATAATAATAATATCAACAGCTTTTTGTTTGAGTAGTTACTATGTGCCAAGTATTGAGATAAGCATTTTATATAAATGTCCTCATAACTATCCTGTAAAACAGTGTCAATATATCTATAGATAGATGTTATATTAAAATAGATAGTGTCAATGTATCTGTACATAGATGTTATATTAAATTCTCATGACTATCCTGTAAAATAGATAGTGTCAATACCACTTTATGGACAGGGAAACTGATCACAGAGAACTTAGTTAATTTTCCCAAAGGCACACAGTTATAAATGTGTAATCACTACCCTATGTTGTTCTTCAAATAAAGCCATTAGTATTTGCCATAACCACACAGCTGATGTTGCCACCCTGGAAGCTGCAGAGTTACAGAGAAGACATGGCATCACGCGTCTTAACCACCCCTCAGAATTGCTGCGTACCTGACAAGGGTGTCCCATGGACGATAATGGCGATGCCTTTCCGGTTCTTAGCCAGGCGGCCTTCTGCAGAAATGTCAATACCCAGGTGGCGAGCAATCGCTTTGCTCACTGGGTTGTTTTCTACCTCGCCAACTTCCTCCATGGAGTGGCTGTCAATGCTCTGAATCTTGTCAGCTGTAAATTAAAAATATATGTGTGCACACATGGCTACACAGCTGGAATTTACATGGGCACTGATGGAAATGGGAATGAATATTTCCTTTTAAATGCTGTTCTTTTAAATGGCAAACATTGCAGCAGTCCCAACTTGTAGTGTATGACAATGGCTAATAATTTCTTTATACCTAATAAAATTTACAGCTAATAATTTGTTTATAGCTACTAAAATTAAAAAAGCAGATTTTTTGACTCTACTTCTGTTTTAGAGAATCTCTCGCTGAAAAGCAGAAAGGGCATTTGCGTGGAGAGGAGGATGGCTTACAGTGGCAAAATATTAGAAACTGGTGAAATTTGCAGCATTAAAGGAAATAGCTGAACAAATGGTGGCATATTTCTATTATACAATCAATATACAACAGCTATTAAAATGATGATTTTGATATCAGAGACTGGACAACTAGTCTAGACAAATAAGATTGTTTGCCAATATAGGTGATTTCCAATGTCAGTCATCCCAAATGCATTCAGTGTTTTAATACCCAAATCTGTCCTGCTGCTTGTTTTTGTAAATAACGTTGTACTGGAACATAGCCACATCCTTTGATTACACAGTGTCTTTGTCATCGCAGCCACGCTGCAAGGGCAGGGTTAAGTAGTTTCAGCAGGGACCATATGGCCTTCAAAGCCCAAAATATTTACTGTGTGGCCTTTAATGGGAAACGTTTGCCAAACCTTGATTTATCAAATGTGTTGACCTAGAGGAACGTTCCTAATAGAAAAAAGCAAGCTGCAGGATCCCACGTGTATTAACGGTTTGTAGAGTAGTATACAGCCAGATACATACAGTCATCCCAAATACATTCCGTGTTTTAATAAGAAAGGTGGGATGACACTCTGAATTTTGTTCTGTAACTTGATTTCCCATAATACCTCTTGGACATCTTTCCATTTACTTAAATACAGGTCTAGCTCATTCTTTTTAAATAGCTGCTAAATAACTCCCACTTTATGGTTTTGTCACAATTTCACTAGTTCCCTACTGATGGGCATTTAGATGGTTTTCAGGTATTTTCATCCTAAGCACTGTGGTATGCTTTCTTCTCTGTGGGGTGTCCAGGGTCAGCTCTGGAAGAGCCCAGGCGTGGGGAGCAGAGTCGGGGTGTATGGGGTGGGAAGGGCTGCTGGGAGAGACTGGGAGCCACTTGGGGGCTTGTCGGTATAGCCAGGGTGGATTAAATACAGAGCATGGAGCCAGGAATTTCTGTCTTTAATCTTAGTTTTGCCATTACATGCTCCTGACTTAATTTACTCACCTGGTTGATGAGGGCTATGAATGACAACTTAACTCCTTAAAGATCTCCTGAGCCTCGCCCGTGATTCCTATTCTGGGGGCGGGCACATGACAAAGCTGCTTATGCCTTATCAGGGTTCACAATGACCAGCAAACAAAAGGCCCTCATGAGCTCAGTTGCAGTAAATCTAATTTTCTAAATACGGTTCCAACATCTTGTAAAAATAAACATCTTGGAGACAATAAATGCCAGAAAATGGGCCCATAATGGTGGGAAGTCGAGGAGAGAGCTCTCTAATAGCTCAACTGTGGGGAACACTGGGAAGGACGTCCCCACCCCCATAATGTTTCTCCAAACACCTCCCAGTCTGCCAGAATCTTAGCATGAAAGGTTCAGGCCTCCACTGAGTCTAGTTGAAACACAAATAACTGTGGCCAGAATGTACTGTATGCTAAGCTCATCATCTGACTCCCAAGCTCATATCCTAGTGTGAGCGGCAGATCAGAGCTTCTCCACAGGGCAGCTGTGGTAGGTAGGGCAGCACGGGCTGGGAGCCACACTAGGAGGCTTGGAGGAAGTGACAAGGTACTTAATATTGTCTTCCGACTTCTGCTTGGAGAGAATAAGTATCGAAACATTAAAATGCTTGGTTACTTTGGAACATGAGTTTTTCCATGCTGTCATCATCCTCCTCTTCCTCTAGATAGGTTCTGGACTCGATCAACAGGCCGTGCCGCTCTTCCAAGTTGGATGTGACAGAGATCCCTCGGCTCAGCGATGTCCTCTTCGTGCTAGAGGAGGTTCCCTGATCTGATGTGGGCATGTCTTCCTCTTCTGCCAGGGAGCAAACGATGAGAACACAAGGGGAAGAGTTGGGAGGGGCACAAGGGAGATGGGGGCAGAAAAAAAAAAAAAAAAAAAAGATGAAGAGGAGACTCACCATACTGACTTCCATCACCCTGGACTATTCAACCCAAAAAAACAAGAGCTGCAGTCAGTCGGCTATTCCTCAGTTTCTCTGTGCATAGTGTTTCAACATTTTAACATTTGTTTAGGAACCAAAATTATGCATTTGCTTAGAAAATGGGGAAAACTCAGAAGAGCCAAAAGTGATAGAATTCAGCTACAAAAAGAGGTGGAGATAGACAAAGAAATGGCAACAGAGAAGTTCCACTAAACGTTACCACACCAGCACGGGAGAGCTGCAACCTCTCAGATTTTTAATTGTCTGAAACTAAGCTTGGGGTCATATTGCACACACTGACTTGTAGCCTGCTTTCCCCTTTAATTTATCATGAACATTTCCTGTGTCAACGGTAGGGACAGCTACCATTTTGTTAGCCCAACACCTTCCTCATTGATTGCCCATTAATCTATAGCACTTCAGGGTGCAATGGGCTGTGACTACATGAAGTGACCACCCTCTCCTACAGGGCAAGACATTCTCTGTGTCACACAAGGTAGAAATTGAGCCTGAGGAGTTGCGGCTCTCTAATGAATGGTGGCCTTGTGACTTGGGGCTGTGGGCCGTCCCTGGAAGGAAGGGAAGCACAGAAGGATGATCTATCTATAGCATGAGAGCAGAGGGAGTAGACAAAGCTCATCAGAGAGGCACTGGTGAGAAGCAGGGCGTGTGGCTTCCTGAGTTCCCTCTGCACCCACTGATCCTGGCTTAGAACACTGTCCATTGGGCCAAATGGATAAATGAGCCCATAATCATGGTGTGTAAGGACGAGGGCAGCACCAAGGCCTTCTCTGCCCTTGCGAGGTCCTTTGTGCATTGCAGCTCTTGCCACCCCTGCCTTGGGCTGCTAGGCAGTCCCCCTGATGGTGTGTCTCTCCTCGCACTCTCTTCATGACTGTGAGCTCACAAAGGCAGGGATTCATTGCCTTTTCTGATTTTTTTCCCAGAACTTTTTTCACTGATTTTTCCCCCCACCACTTCAGCTCAGTGCTTGCAACACAATGGGTCCTGGTGACGGGCTTAATTGTGTTCCTTCCTAATTCATATGTGGAAGTCCTAACCCCCAGAATCTCAGAATGTGACTGCATTTGGAGACAGGGCCTTTAAAACGGTAATTAAGGTAAGATGAGGTCACGTGGCTGGGTCCTAACCAGTAGGACTGGCGTCCTTATGAGGAGAGGAGATTGGGACACAGACACACACAGAAGGAAGGCCATATGAAGACACAGTGAGAAGACGGCCAACTGCAAGATGGGATTCAGAAGGTCACAACCCTGCTAATACCCAGCCTTGGACTTCTAGCCTCCAGATTTGGGAGAAAAGAAACTTCTGTTGGTTAGGCCACCCAGTCTGTGGTATTTGTGATGGCAGCCCTAGCAAACTCAAGGAACACGACTAGGAGACTGGGTGGGTGGCAGCTGCCTTCTCTCATCTTCTCCTTTTAAGCCAAACTAGTGTCTCTGACTAGCTTCTCTTTCCTACAATGAGACAGGCCCAAGGGCAGGACAAACAACTCCATTCAATCCATTAATGCATTCACTCACACAGCACCCATCTATTGGGTACTATTGGGTCAACTGCTGTTCCATCCACTGGTTTTACTGTGGGGAATATGTGATCGATGCCTTTCTGGGACTTCTTGGCTAGCGGTAGAGGCAGTGTGAAGAAAACAATTGCATGTATGACTGTTACACAGAAGAGAGCAAGTAAGAACAAGGTAGGCACATTTCCAGGATGAGGTTGCAGAGAAGCAAGAAGGAAATGATGCATCCTCATAAGCCACACAGTCCCACAAGTCAACAAGGAACCTTTATGGGCAAGCACACAAGAGCCTCTGGGCACATGATGGGATAACTCAGGCGTGGAGGGCACGATTCTGAGACCATAGGTGATTGGAGTTTGGCCTGAGGACTATGGAGGGGCTGGCCTTTTGCTTGTGTGAATGCCCACCCCCTGCTTTTAGGGCACCAGTTTCTACCGTGTGACACAATACTGTGCACTACCTAGGTCTACCCATAGGAGGCAGTGGTTACCATCATGGACTCTGGAGTCAGAAAGCCCTGGGCTGGAATCCTGATTCTGCCACTTAAAACTGTAGACTTGGCCTCTGAGCTTCAGTTTCTCATCTGTACGTGCAAAGTCCTCAACATGGCATCCAGCAAGTGTTCTTCCATCTATATTAGCTGTTTGGAAGTCATACTACCTCAATTGGGCTCCAGTGACAGCAGAATGTTTTCCAGCCTCCGCATCCATAAAATGCGGATAATGCGACCCATTTCGTAAGCATTAGAAATAAAATGCATGAGGCAGGCAGCACCTGCCTGGCATCTGGCAGGTACTCAGAAATGGGTTGGTCCCACAGCAGGGGTAATTCAGAGGGGTGAAGGCAATGGTTAGTGCCAGGGGTTCCCCATGTTGAGTTCTCACCATTCTCCTGGGCCAGATTCTCCAGATGTTTCGCTCTCATCTGCTCCTCTTTTGACTTCTTCATCTCCTTAAAATACTCGTACAGCTCTGGGGGCAGCTTCTCCCCCGGGTTGCGGGGAGGCAGCAGCAGGGTGTTGTAGGAATCGTAGCCCTTCATCTTCCTCAAGATCTGCTCAAGGGGAGAACGGGAACCCTGTTGGTCTCGCTAGAAATCTCCCTGCAGCTCTAAGTGAGTCTGTGCACTGATTTTGTAAAACTCCTGCTCCTGCCTGAGGCCAAGATTTGTACAAATACTTTCTGGATTTCAAAGAGTGGGGCCCTTTGGAGAGGTCTCAGAAGTAGGGCTGAGCTCTGAGCCTGTGGGGATACATGATCTTTATTTTGCTCCATTTCAGCCTGGGCATTTCAGTGGAAATAAATTTTCTTCTTGTTTTAAGAATAATATGCATTCTTTTCCCTTTTTTCCCCGTGACAAAAGTACAGAACTCCGTTATCTACCTTGAGTGACACATTCATTCTTAAACAATGTTGTGGTTAACAATTTTACACTAAGCAATGTTGTGGTCTCATAAATAGAGGATCCAGGGAAAAAAAGAGGTGAAATGGTATTAAGTACATATGTGTGTGCACGTGTGTGTGGATGTGTATTAGGGCTGCCAGATACAATACAAGATGGCTAGTTTTTTAAATTTGAGTTTCAGATAAACAGTGAATAACTTTTTAGTATAAATATGTCCTGTGTAATATTTGATGCCTACTAAAAATATTTGTTATTTATCTGAAATTCAAATTTAACGAAACAGCCTGTATTTTTTCTCCTGAATCTGGGAATCCTAGTGTGTGTATTTATAAGATAGAGTATAATTAAGTTTTAAAAAGCATTCACTTCTTCTACAACTTGAATTATTGGTATCAAAAATCTGTTTTGTTAGGTAATCCATCTTCAGGATCCCCATTTTTAGTGCTGCCAATAAGCTCATTCTAAAATTTACATGGAAGGGCAAAATGAAAGCATTAGTGAAAAGGAGAAAAAGAAGGGTATTACCCTACCAGATAACAAGCCTTATTAGGAAGCTGTAGTAATAGACAGAGTGGCAATGATGCTGGAACAGACACACTGATCAATGAAATAGAAGCGAGAGCTCAGAGTTGACCCATTTATTTGTGGAGCTGTGATAAAGGATACAGGTATCATAGAGAATCAGTGGGCAAAGGAAGCAATATGCCAAGGAGTGGTTGATGTAGGGCACAAAAGCCTGGCAAACTTGCAGCAACTGGGGCAACTCCAAAGGGCCAACCCGGCTCCAAAGCATCCTGTGCGATTAACTCAAGTCTTTGCTGCCATCTCATCACAGTTAATCATTCTCTGTCCAACTCTGCTGTCCTGTTCTTCACAAGTGTTCCTGAGAGTGCCCCCAAGAAACCTCCCACATGTAAATCTCAAGTCTTAGATTATGCTTTGCACAGAGCCCGACTCTCACTGGAAGGTGCTGTGCCAACAAAAGCCACTAAGGATCTCATAAATTTCTAATGAAAAGACTCCCTCTACACGGGTAGATCACCATTCTGAGAAAAACTTCTGGGAGCAGACTGCAAACTAAGCAGGCTGCCAACACTGGAAGTAAAGAAGACAGAAGATTCAAAGACTGAGTGGAGGAGGGTCCAGAGGAAGCCGAACCCGCTCAGCTAAGCCACCTTCAACTTTCTGATCCACAGAAAGCACGAGATGACAAGTGTTTCTTTTATTATATTTTATTTATTTAGTTAGTTATTTTTTACTTTAAGTTCTGGCTACATGTGCAGATCTTGCAGGATTGTTGCATAGGTATACACATGCCATGGTGGTTTGCTGCCTCCATCCCCCTGTTGCTTACATTAGGTATTTCTCTTAATGTTATCCCTCCCCAATTTCCCTACCCCCTGTTATCCCTCCCCTATCTCCCTGACCCCCAACAGATCCCAGTGTGTCATGTTCCCCTCCCTGTGTCCATGTGTTCTCATTGTTCAACACCCACTTATAAGTGAAAACATGTGGTGTTTGGTTTTCTGTTCTTGTGTCAGTTTGCTGAGAATGATGATTTCCAGAATCATCCATGTCCCTGCAAAGGACATGAACTTATCCTTTTTTATGGCTGCATAGTATTCCATGGTATATACGTGCCACATGTTTTTTTATGCAGTCTATCTTTCATTGGCATTTGGGTTGGTTCCAGGTCTTTGCTATTGTTAACAGTGCCATAATGAACATACGTGTGCATGTGTCCTTATAATAGATTGATTTATAATCCTTTGGGTATATACCCAGTAATGGGATTGCTGGGTCAAATGGTATTTCTATTTCTAGATCCTTGAGGAATTGCCACACTGTCTTCCACAATGGTTGAACTAATTTACACTCCCACCAACAGTGTAAAAGTGTTCCTATTTCTCCACATCCTCTCCAGTGTCTGATGTCTCCAGATTTTTTAATGATCACCATTCTAACTGGTGTGAGATGGTACCTCAATGTAGTTTTGATTTGCATTTCCCTAATGACCAGTGATGATGAGCATTTTTTCCTATGTTCATGGGCCACATAAATGTCTTCTTTTGAAAAGTGTCTGTTCATATCTTTCACCCGCTTTTTGATAGGGTTGTTTTTTTCTTGTATATTTGTTTTAGTTCTTAGTAGATTGTGAATATTAGCCCTTTGTCAGATAGGTAGATTGCAAAATTTTTTTCCCATTCTGTTGGTTGCCAGTTCACTCTAATAATTGTTTCTTTTGCTGTGCAGAAGCTCTTAAGTTTAATTAGATCCCATTTGTCTATTTTAGCTTTTGTTGCCATTGCTTTTGGTGTTTTAGTCATGAAGTCCTTGCCTATGTCTACGTCCTGAATGGTATTGCCCAGGTTTTCTTCTAGGGCTTTTATGGTGTTAGGTCTTATGTTTAAATCTTTAATTCATCTGGAGTTAATTTTTGTATAAAGTATAAGGAAGGGGTCCAGTTTCAGCTTTCTGCACATGGCTAGCCAGTTTTCCCAACACTATTAAACAGGAAATCCTTTCCCCATTACTTGTTTTTGTCTGGTTTGTCAAAGATCAGATGGTTGTAGATGTATGATATTGCTTCCGAAGCCTCTGTTCTGTTCCATTGGTCTATATCTCTGTTTTGGTACCAGTACCATGCTGTTTTGATTACTGTAGGCTTGTAGTATAGTTTGAAGTCAGGTAGTGTGATGCCTCCAGCTTTGTTCTTTTTGCTTAGGATTGTCTTGGCTATGTGGACTCTCTTTTGGTTCCATATGAAGGTTGAGGTGGTTTTTTCCAGTTCTATGAAAAAGGTCAATGGTAGCTTGATGGGGATAGCACTGAATCTATAAATTGCTTTTGGCAGTATGGCCATTTTCATGATATTGATTCTTTCTAAGCATGAGCATGGAAGGGTCTTGACTTTTTATCCAATTTGCCAGTCTGTGTCTTTTGATTGGGGCATTTAGCCCACTTACATTTAAGGTTAAAATTGTTATGTGTGAATTTGTTCCTCCCATTTTGATAGTAGCTGGTTGTTTTACCTGTTAGTTGACTCAGTTTTTTCATTGTGTTGATGGTCTTTACCATTTGGTACATTTTTGCAGTGGCTGATACTGGTTGTTCCTTTCCATGGTTAGTGCTACCTTCAGGAGCTCTTACAAGGCAGGCCTGGTGGTGACAAAATCTCTCAGCAATTGCTTGTACATAAAGGATTTTATTTCTCCCTCACTTATGAAGCTTAGTTTGTCTGGATATGAAATTCTGGGTTGAAAGTTCTTTTCTTTAAGGATGTTGAATATTGGCCCCCAGTCTCTTCTGGCTTGAAGGGTTTCTGCTGAGACATCTGCTGTGAGTCTGATGGGCTTCCCTTTGTGGGTAACCTGACCTTTCTCTCTGGCTGCACTTAACATTTTTTCCTTCATTTCAACCCTAGTGAATCTGACGATTATGTGCCTTGGGGTTGCTCTTCTTGAGGAATATCTTTGTGGTGTTCTCTGTATTTCCTGGATTTGATTGTTGGCCTGACTTGTTAGGTTGGGGAAGTTCTCCTGGATAATATCCTGAAGTGTTTTCCAGCTTGGAAATATTCTCCCCGTCACATTCAAGTACACCAATCAAACATAGTTTAGGTCTTTTCACATAATCTCATATTTCTTGGAGGCTTTGTTCATTTTTTTTTTACTCTTTTTTTCTCTGATATTGCCTTCTCATTTTATTTCATTGAGTTGGTCTTCAATCTCTGATAGCCTTTCTTCAGCTTGATTGATTCAGCTATTGAAACTTGTGTATGCCTCACGAAGTTCTCGTGTTGTGTTTTTCAGCTCCTCAGGTTGTTTAAGTGCTCTCTAAGGTGGTTATTCTAGTTAGCATTTTGTCTAACCTTTTTTCAAGATTCTTAGTTTCTTTGCATTGGGTTAGAACATGTTCTTTTAGCTCATGGCAGTTTGTTTTTACCTACCTTCTGAAGCCTGCTTCTGTCAATTCATCAAACTCATTATCCATCTGGTTTTCTTCTCTTGCTGGCAAGGAGTTGTGATCCCTTGGAGGAGGAGAGGCATTCTGGTTTTTGGTGATTTTATGTTTTTTGCACTGTTTTTTGCCCATCTTCCTGGATTTACCTACCTTTGGTCTTTGAAGTTGGTGACCTTCGGATGAGGTCTCTGAGTGGATGTCCTTTCTGTTGATGTTGAAGCTATTTCTGTTTTTTAGTTTTCCCTCTAACAGTCCCTCTGCTGCAGGACTGCTGGAGGTTCACTCCAGACCCTGCTTGCCTGGGAATCACCTGCAGAGGCTGCAGAACTGTAAGGGTTGCTACCTATTCCTTCTTCTGGTATCTTTGTCCCAAAAGGGTACCCGCCAGATGTCAGCCAGAGCTCTCCTTTATCAGGTGCCTCTTTGGCTATACAGGGGTCAGGAAGCCATTTGAGGAGGCAGTCTGTCCCTAATTAGAGCTCAAGTGCTGTGCTAGGAGGTCCATTGTTCTGTTCAGAGCTGCTGGGCAGGGATGTTTGAGTCTGCTGCAGTGGAACTTATAACCACCTCTTCTCCCAGGTGCTCTGTCCCAGGAAGGTAGGGCTTTATTTATAAGTCCCTTCCATGCTGCTGCCTTTTTCCAGAGATGCCCTGCCCAGCAAGGAGGGAGTCTAGTCACAGTCTGCTTGCAGAAGCGTTGCTGAGCTGCACGGGCTCTGTCCAGCTGCCGTGTGAACTTCCTTGTGGTTTTGTTTACACTGGTAAGGTTAGTACTGTCTTGGTAACGGTGGGCTGCCTCGGTAATGGCGGATGCCCTTCCCCTACTCCAAGCTCGACTGTCCAGGGTCGAGCTCAAACTGCTGCATTGGCTGCAAAACTCTCAAGCCAGTGTGTTTCAGATTCCTGGTCTTTGTGGGTGTGGGACCCGCCAAGCCAGATCACCTGGCTCCCTACCTTCTTTTTCAGGGGAATGTGCATCTCTGTCTTGCAGGCATTCCAGGCACCAGTTATTGATATATCTATTTTGAAGCTATTTTATTAATTTGATTTTTTAAAAATTTTGTTTATTTTGAGACAGGGTTTCACTCTGTCATCCAGATTTGTGCGTGTTTTTGTGCTGGAAACTCATGGCGCTTGTTGGCTGGCGGGAATCTCCTGGTCTGTGGGCCATAAAGACAGTGGGAGAAGCACAGTATCTGAACCAGAGTACTGGAGTGGCTGAAAAAGCCCCCATTCACCTTTGTTGGGTGGGGGGGGAGGTCCTCCAGTTCGCTGGGCTTCCTGGGTGAGGCAGCGCCCCACCCTGCCTTGGCTTGCACTCCTTGGGCTACACTCACTTTCCAACAAGTCCCATTGAGATGCGCCTGGTACCTCGGTTGGAAATGTGGTGATCACTTGCCCTCTGCATTGCTCTCACTGGGAACTGTGCTCTGGAGCTGTTCCTATCTTGGTGGAGCTCAAGTGTTTATTGTTTTAAGTTACTAAGTTTGGCCATCTTGGCAGAGCTCAAGTGTTTATTGTTTTAAGTTGCTAAGTTTGGGGCTAATTTGTTATGCAGCAAAAGATAACTAACACAACACTGAGCTTCATGAACAGCAATACCTTATGAGGAAACAATGGAGCAACATATTTACAATAGCCAAATGAAGAAAATGTAAGTCAAGAATATTGTATCTGATCTTCAAAAGTCACAGATAAATGGTTGCAAATGTTTGAATACTCAGAGAATATCATTCCCATGATCCCTTCCTGAGAAACCCACTAGAGAATGAACTGTAGATATCCTAGAAGTAATTGGAGAAGCTTCATTATAAGGATTGATGTTGGACTCTGAATATGCCTAAGTGTAAAACTAAGACTCCATGATGGAAATTAAGTCCTGACATCTTAATACTATAAGCTCTGACAATATAGATAAAATACAAGTAGCAAACATGGGGGAAGCTTACACGAGATGACTACCCAGTTGGTATTCAGTGGAAATAAAAGAATGCAATTTTAAATTAGAGGATGGAAAGGGGAGAGGGAAAAAGAGATTACTAGCTAATTTTAATATTGCTCACAGAAGGGAATTAAGAGGCAGTTTCAAAGAGTAGGGCACTAAGGTTATTAGACAAAGGTGTAGCTCAAGGTAGGGCATCAGGCTGGGGAGCATGAAAAGTGGATCTGGGGAAGCAGCTGGAACACAGCACAGAGGCATCACCGTGCTTGTGGATAATAGGACTCAGTAGTCCAATTATTAATATGGTTAGTAGGAATATTGATATCACTATTTTGAAGCTATTTTATTAGTTTGATTTTTAAAAAAATTTATTTTGAGACAGGGTCTCACTCTGTCACCCAGGCTGGAGTGCAGTGGTATGATCTTGGTTTACTGCAGCCTCCACCTCCCAGGCTCAAGTGGAACTCCCACCTCAGCCTCTCAAGTAGTTGGAACTACAGGCATGTGCCACCATGTCCAGCTAAATAATAATAATAATAATAATTATTATTATTATTATTTATTTATTATTATTATTTTGTAGATAGAGTTTTGCTACGTTGCCCAGGCTGGGCTCAACCTCTTGAGCTCAAGCAATCCTCCTGCCTTGGCCTCCCAAAGTGCTGGGATTACAGGTGTGTGCCACTGTGTCTGGCTAAATGTATATTTTATAAGATAAATCGATAAGTAAGTTTATAGTCATGATTTTCAAGAGAAAGAAGAAAGAAATGTATTATTAAAGAACTGAGATAAAATCCTATCATCTTAAATTGGAATTTGAAACACAATTGTACATTGCGATTTTTTTTCACCCTTAAAAATCTAATTATTTTCTAATTATTTTGACTAAAAAGACCTAGAAAGTCATAATCCAGTGGTCCAGACTGTGATCTGTAAATGCCATTTCATACTAAAAGGGCTCCCTGGAGACATGACTGACTCTAGGTCTGGGCAGGAAATGCACCTGTCAAGTCTAGGACATCTTAGGAGTGTCTTCCCTGCCAGTGGGTAGCAAGACCTCACCTCCCTCCAAACCTGTCAGTAAAGACCATGTAGGAAGCCTGGACTTCAAAGTCCACGTGGTGGTAAAGAAGTGTTCCTCCTCCTCTCTGCTGGGGTGGTATCAGATGAGGTCTAATGGAATGTCAGAACTTTTGCCATTACCCAGTGGTCCTGGATAGTATGGCTACCCCTCTATTTTTCCATGCAGAGTCAGTGGAGGCCATGTGGAGAGTAGTAATGAGGCACTCCTGGCCCTCCCAGCCAGGAAGGTATCAACTGAGGCCTTGTGGAGAGCCAGAAATACCTTCTCCTGTCCAGCAGTAATGAAGAGCCCCTCCTACTGTTTGTCAAAGAAGGCCAAGGAGGGAACCTAGACTATTACCCACATCTGTCAGTAAGAAGAGAGTGCCCCCATCCCCCTTGCCCATGTCATTTCAGAAAAGGCCAGTTAAAACAGAAAATTTAAATAAGGTCCAGAGTCTCATAACGCAATACTGAAAATATACAGGTTTGAACTAAAAATCCTTCATCATAGTAACAACCAGGAAAATTTCAGCTTGAATGATAACAGAAAATGAATAGATTAGTTGAAGCAACTAATATCACTTCAAGATAACAGTGATATTAGTTATCTTGCAAAGATTCTAAAGCAGCCATCATTGTAACAATGAACAATTTAGTGAACAATTATGAGCATATATGAAGCAAATAAAAAAAGTCTTAGGAAAGAAACACAACATATAAAAAAGAACCAAATAAAAATTCTACAACTTAAATATACAGTTACCAAAATAAAAACTCAATATATGGGCAGAATAAAATGGATAGAGAAGAGAAGTGGTGAACTTGAAGATAAAATAACAGAAATTACTTAATCTGGATAACAGAGAAAATAGACTTAAAAAAAAGAAAAGAGCCTCAAATAACTGTAAAACTGTAACAAAACATCTAATATAAGTGTCATTTGAGCCCTGGAAGGAGAGTAGAAAGAGCATGAAGCTGAAAAAGTACTCAAATGAATAATGCCTGAGAAATTTCCAAATTGGAAAGAAGATAAAAATCAACAGATTCAAGAAACTCACCAAGTCCCAAACTGAATAAACCAAAAGAAATTTATGCCAAGGAAACATTATAGTCAAAATTCTGTAAACAAAGGCACAGAAAAATTCCTGAAAGCAGTGAGAGAGAAGTGAAATCTTCCTTATAAAGGAAAAAAAAATTCAAATGACATTGAATTTCTCATCAGACCATGGAGGTAAGAAGAAAGTGGCATATTTTTCAAGGGATGAAACACTGTCAGCTCAGAATTCTATATCCAGTGAACAAATCCTTCAAGTATGAGGGGGGAAATCAAGATGAGGGAAAACTAAGAAATTTCTATCAGCAGGTGTACCCTAATGGCAGAGCTAAAGGTAGCTCTCTAAACAGAAAGTTAATAAAAGAAATCTTGGCACATCAGAAAGGAAGAAAGAACAGAAAAAGTAAAAAGAGAGACAAATATAATACATTTTCCATTTCCTCTAGGGTTTTCAAATGTATGTTTGGCATATTAAACAATAATTATAGTGCTAGATAATATAAGAAAAATATTTAAGACAGTGACATTAAAAATGAGAAGGCTGAAGGGAATTAAATGGGGGAAAATTTTCTAAATTATACTAGAACTGGTAAAATGTCAATACCAGTTGATTATAATGTTATATACAGATAAGGTAACACCTATGGCAACAACTAAAGAAGCTACACAAAGATATACACCCAGAAAACATTCCGGGTAAATAAAAATGGAATTTTAAATAATGTTGAAGCAACTGACAGGAAAGTAGGAAAAAGCAAACAGACCAAAAAACAACAGAACATACAATTAAGTCCTCTTGAGTCCTGACATAGCAATAATTAAACTAAATGTAAATAGTATAAATACATCAACTAAAGTCAGAGATTGGCAGAGTATATTTTAAAAAATGACCCAATTACATGCTGTCTACAAGTAACTCAACTTCAAATATAATGATATTGGCAAGTTGCTACATACGGTTCTTTACTGTTTGAATTTTAACCATGAACATGCATTAGTTTTTCAACTAGTTGCTTAAAATGTATAGGATTCTACTCAGGTCAAGGGAAGTAGGTCAGGAAAGGCTATAGAGAAGTAATCACTAAATTGACAAGGAAGAATTCAATGGGGAAAAGGTGGGAAAGGCCAGGAGGTTGTCATTTCATGCAGAGAAAAGAGCGTGAGTACATAGCAGGGTCCAGCACATGTGGAAAAATAGAGTTTGGCTTTGGCCTCTGCTCACCTTTTCTTCTATGAGATATTGCTGATCAAATTCTAAGGAATAAAATTCAATGGGGAAGTCACAGGGATTCTTCACTGTCACCTCGGCCTCATCTCCAGGTGCACAAAGTAGCAGTGGCCCCAGGTCCAGGACTGAAGGACTAAATTCCAGGCGTGGCTCTAGACCTTGCCCATATACCAGCAGTGTAAGCTTTTGAGCACTCTGGGCAATCTGAAACATCAGGGTTTGGCTGTAGAATTTCTGGAAAACATAAAAACAAAACAAGCATCTGAATTTATTTCTATTATATGGCATGTAAAACAAAACGCCGCCAAGAGGAAAAAACTTATCTATTTAGGTTGAGAGAGGTAAGTTATTATAAAATTGCATAAGAGTAATTGATATTACTAGATTAATATCAGTACTGGGTATTTAGCATGCCAGGCATTGTACCAAGTGATAGATGTAAAATAAATTCTGAGTATCTAGCATTGTAGCACTTGTATCAAGTGCTTCATTATTTGTAGCAAGCCCTCTGAGTGTCACTGTTATATCCTTCAGATCTTTCAGTGTGCTCAGACTTCCAGCTGCCACAGTCTGTACCTCTGGGCCTGAAGGTTCTCATTTCATGAACCCTGCTGCCTATGGGAAGGGGAAGGCAGGGCAGAAATGCCAGGGAAGTAATACTGTCTGGAAGTAGTTCTCAAGCAATGACTCTAGGGATTTATTGTAAAAAGACTCCAGCTCCCTTGCTCCTGATTAGTGATGATTCTAAAGTGCGTGTTTAGTGTATTTTCCCAGAGCTTGTCAGAATGCCAGGGTTAGGGCATTCAGGTCATCAGGTACAATTACAATCAGATACTGGATATTAGTGATAACACAACTACTTACACGTTTTCTCAAAATGGTACCAAAATCTATGTTCTATCCCATAGTTCCTAATCTGATTTCACTGGGGAACCTATTAAACATGCAGATCCTCAGATTCCATCCCTAGAAATCCTGACTCCCTAGAGGCAGAGTAAGATTTAGCATTTTTAACCAGATGCCTAGGTTATTCTGGTATAGCTGGACTTGTGGCTTGGTGTGAGTGGAAATTGTGCAAATCACAATGTGAAGACTTTCTATCTTAGCTTTCAGGGGAAAAAGCAAACGGATGGAATGTATACAGACACACACACAGAAATATCTATTGCTGGACACAATAAGATAACTTATTGGCTAAGAGGGGTTTCTGTATAGCTATTGGCTTAGTACCTTATGATTCAAACTTCTATATTTTAATTACTCCTTATGGAAATCTTTCTAAAATATTTCGTTCATTTTCTTGAACATGCTACAATGTCTAAGAATTGTTGGTGTGGATGTCAGCGATTTCTTGGCACTGTTGATATTGATGACGATGCAGATATGGATTGCATGGATTGTAGGACTAACCAATTCCTTGTATAGAGATAACATATTTCTCTCTTATTTGACTTTGACCAATTCCAACTCAACATTCATGAAACTGCTTGCACAAATCCATTATTTTTATGACATTTCTCTCATTAAGTAATGGGAAAAAAAATTCACAATCTTTTTAATCTCTTTAAGAATGATAAACATATTATTAATTTTCTTTGAAACAAACTGGGGAGATTTTGATAATGATAAAAACATGGGTTTTATTTTAGAATGAGATATGAAGTCGTTTGCTTTTTCTCTTTTTCACTGAAGGTGTTTAAGCATTTTCTCGAAGCCATTACCAGGAAAATGGGAGTTAACCACAGCTCTTCTATAAAACACACATCGATTTTCCTGTTAAAAGAACAGAATAGAGAAAAAGATATTTCCCAAATGCCTTAGGCTTTGAACAAAAGTCTTCATGGTACAACCTCTTGAGGTTCTTTCTGGTTCTAGAATCTTATTAACTTTACTGTGTTCCTGGTCAGAAGTAGTTTGAGTTGATAATGTTCACAAAAGAAACATTTATGAAGCTGTGGGTGGCCACATACCGGGATGTACTTTTCATGACTACTGAAGATAATGGTTAATAGTTATTGAGAGACTTACTATACATAGAGCAGCATGCTGTGTACTTTATTCAATGCTGTGCATTGAATCTTCAAAATGATTTTAGAAGGTAGTCATTACAGGTTGACAATATCTTATCTGAAACCCAGGGGCCAGATACTTTCAAATTCAGATTTTTAAAAATAGTAAGCACAGTGCATATACCATTTGTTACCTAATACCTTTAGCAGGGTCTTAGGCATTTCCCCCATACTCAAACACATTAATATTTGTTGGCAATGTTTGACTCTGAAGACAAAATGGTATAAATAAAGGTTAAATGGTCTCACGTCAGTTCAGACAAGACTTTTCTGCCAAATGAGTTTTTGTCCGAAACATATGAAATCTCAAACCCCCCACCCCCAGTTTTAGTTCTTATTGGGTTTCAGAATTTCAATAAGGGACTGTTGATATGCAATATTATTATTTTTTCTTTTATCTATGAGTGAACTGAGGCTGAATGAGGCTAAGTAATTTCCTCAAAGACACACAGCATGGAAGTATGCAGAGGCAGAAGGCTACTAAACCAGGCCTGCTGTTAATAATTGATGTGTTAGTCTGATGATTCCAGACCACTAGGCCACACAGCTCCTATGTGAACCAGAAGTGCTTGAGATGCCATATTCAGAAAAGCAAGGCACAAGTCACTCAAAGCTTCCCTTGACACCCAGACAAGCATGGACTTGAGTAAAGCTCAAAGAGGTCCAGATAACCTAAATGAAGCCACGTTTCTTTAAAGCTTACCTCTTCTTTTGGCATGAATTTTACTTGCACGTTGGACTTCTCACCAGGATCCAAGACTCCAGAAATGGGCTGGATCTCAAAGATCCGTGTCTTGGGCTTTAATTCTGCACGCAGTTTCTGTCTTAAGTATTTTGGCATGTGTTTCTTCAGCTGGTTGACAAATATTAGACAATCAGATCATCCTCTATGGAAAATGAACTCATTCACCTTCCACTCACACAACCCACATTTCCTGAATACCTCTTAGGTGTCAGGGAAAGTGTAGATACCAGAGGTACAAAGATGACACCCGACAGCATGGCTTGACAGGACCTCAGGGGCTGGGATAAGGGCCTAGATTTTATTAAGGAGGCAATGGTTGCCAATGCAAGTCTTTGAGCTGGAGATTGAAATGATGAGTGCAAAGGCCTAGACTTACAAATCTGACTGAAATGGCGATGGAGAAAGGACGATCAATGGGCCACAGCTCCTTTACCTTGTCAATAGGCTTTTGGCTGTGGACAAACCATTCACAAGGGACTTGGAGATGATTGGAAAGCTGAATAGTTTCCACCAGGCATTGTCCACACTGAATTGTGGCAAAGTCCACTTTTTCACGAGAGAGAGTCATGGTTGGAATGATCACCTTGGCTTGAAGACAGATGTGAACTGTTGGCCCTCCAATCACCTAGGGGAGGTATAAACTAAAGTTACCATGTGACATGGGGTTGGGGAAAGGAAGAATCATAGCTCTGACATAATAACTGGATCATCCCAGGGGCCATCAGCAAGCAGAGCAGGAAACCTGCAGGGCTGGGTGGGCCCAGTGGTGCCTCATACCTTGATGGGCAGAATGACTTCTTTGCTTCCAACAGGTAGATTGGCCCCCTGTGGGTCAAATCTCACTTCAAATGTTTCTGTTTCACAGTAAGGCAGATTCTTTACACGATCTAGCTCAGTACTGAATCCTGGACCAAGACAAAAAAATATCTAGGTGGGAAAGAGAAACAGCAAACAAGAACTACTCTAGAGAAAGCCCCTACTGGGTCAGAAGGATGGCTCAGAGGATCACTGAATAGCCCAAGAATCCTTTTAGCTGGTCGCAGAGGCACAAATGCTGCTCCAGGAGGACAGTACTGATGGGTTCCTTGTGAGAAATGACCAAGTACAATAGGAAAGGGCCTCGCCAGCCTGGTTACCTGTCTCATGAAGGACACGCTTGTCTGCGTGGAACGACACTGGAAACTGACTGGTGTTGGTGATTTTGATGATGTGGGTTCGGACTTCACCAAGGATGATGTAGCCAAAGTCCAGGATGTACTCTGGCAGCTGGACTCTGAAATGGTTAATAGTCCTTACTAGTCACTTTCAAACCTGGAAGGCTACTTTTCAAAAGTGAGAGAGCCTGACTTTTTTTTTTCTATCTCCTGTGTACAGTTTTATTCTCTAGAGTGGAGAACAATGAACGGCTACCCAAATGGAGACTAGAAACAACGTAACTCCCCCAGAATTCACACCGTTGTTTGGGCCATTTTCTCAGAACATGTTCAGCATGGGCCCCCGTGGACCTGAACCGGGGCCTGTTTATTAGACACAGCTCTAATGTTCTCACTTTAAGAGGCAGAAACCTGCCCAGTTGGCTTGATGCTAGGGCATGGCAGATAACTGAGGTGAGTGGATTTCATTTCTAGATGATCAGCTGGTGTTTCAGAAGCGCTCTGCATGAGGCAGCACTGCCTGCTCTGCTGCATTCTGAAACAAGCACAGCACAGAAGGGCAGTCACTGGAAACCACTCACTTGGCCAGTTTGCGGCGATTCCGATGGCTGAAGCAGGTGTCTGTGGGGTCAGGGGTGATCGTTTTCTGATGTTCTAGGACATAGCTTTGGACAATAAGTCTCTCTACTTCCATCTGGAGAGGAGAACTTATCTGAAGCAAGAGAAGGGCAAGTCAGCAAATTCTTTTTTTGTTTTTTGTTTTTTTTTTTTTGAGACGGAGTTTTCGCTCTTGTTACCCAGGCTGCAGTGCAATGGCGCGATCTCGGCTCACCGCAACCTCCGCCTCCTGGGTTCAGGCAATTCTCCTGCCTCAGCCTCCT